CTTCAGTGTCCAGAGATGAAGGGTCAGTTTGTTTTCCCCCACTCAATCAATCTCTCACCATCTGCTGAGCCTGCTGGCAATTGCCAAGTGTAGCTAACAGTTTAAGGGACACGACTTTTGCACCCAGAGATCAGGACACAGCCTCAAGAACTACCACCAACAAGCACAATCTCTTAAGTCTATTCTCAAAGGTGCTACCTGAGAGCTACAAGCTAACGAAGGAGAAAACAGGACAGATCTCAATTCCCAGGATCCTGCCCGAGTTCAGCAGACGGTGCTGAGAGGATGGGTTATCTTTAACAAGACTGCCTCAAACAGGGGCCAGAGTCCTTCCCCAGTCGTGGACTCTTGAAGTGCTGAATGACAAAGTATTAACGTTATTAGCCTATAAACATGACGCAGTACCTTAAAATAAGTCTCATCCTCAAAAGGCAATCACTAGGTCCAGAAGAATATTTTTAAAGTACACGATCTTTGGAGGGAAGTCACAAGTATTCAGAGAAAACTGCATGGGGAAAACGAGGACCAGCTTTATTTACAGCAGAGAAAGCAAGCTATGCACACCGATATAAAAATAAGATTTAATAACAAGAGGAATTTTTTCGTCTTATGTAAAGGTCAGAAGGGCAATGGTCTCTCAGAATCTCATGGCATATGGAATCGCAGTAATGAACGGTATTAAGATGATAAATGGACTGACCTTTGGCTAATAACGTACTGATCTTTCTGACAAACATATTCAGATCTTGGAATACAAGCTTTGATGAGATAGAGACCTAATATTAAAGTGTGGTTTATTTCTGAGGGAAGCATACAGAAAGGTAGGTTCCCTAACCACACGAGAAAAGGAAGCAGGTATTAGAGGCAAGGATAGCTGTTGGGACACAAATATGCAGGACACTTAGAAGAGGGAGAATTAAGAGACCCTTTAATAAGATCTGTCTAATGTATGAAACGGGAAAGTGCGATCCTTTGTGCCTGACAGGCTTCAAAGTCCTCGCAGAGACAGAAATAGTGCTGGTGCTTTTGATGTGAAGTGCACAGTCAGAGAAGACTTCCAGGACAGTCAGCATTTCTGCAGGAAGAAAGAAATCCCTACAGATGCTTACAGTTGTGCCCTCCATGAAGAGTTTGTTCTTCGTGAAACTCATCTCAGCGCCCATCTCTAGTTATTTTCTGCTTACATTGGGATGGAAGCCTGCAGTTCCCCCAGTCCTATGGGCAAGTCTCAAGGACAAATTAATCTAGAGATCTCTAACTCGTGGAAGCAGGACAGGCTTTTAAATGTGCATACAGATTTTTATGAAAAAGCTGCACTACAAAACTATTGTCTAGAAGAGGCATAAAAAACCATTTCATTGTTTTGAAAAATTTCGCCTGTTTTATGTACCAAAATAAAAACAGGTCACAGTGGGAAGGAAGATCACTGGCTCTGAGCTCAGATGTAAAAATTCATGTTTTAATTTGGATAGCAAAAGAGACAAAAACTCAGCAATGCTGCAAAAACCCTCTTGTGCATATGGAAAATCTAAGATCTAACTGCTCTGCAGGCAATGCAGCAAGGGCCCACAACTTGAAGACTTTGACAACACTGTATGAGAGGTTTCCCCATGAAAATACGGATATTGATAGTCTAAAATGTAATAGAGAAAAACAATTTAGCTCAGATCTGCTGGGCTTCAAGCAAGTCAAGGGCACATTAAGCTGTAATGTAAAATTAACTTATTTATGGAAGAATTTAAGTGCTACTTAAAGTACTGAAACCACTGTCTCTGTAGATAATATTTCAGAAGCTAGCAGAAAGCAACACTTAAAAGACTTCTTGCTTCCCTTCCCCCATCCTCAAATTTAAAAATAAAAAATTAAAAAGCAAAGCAGCCAGCCACTCACTTCAGTTTTCACAGTTTTATACACCAGCCTAGAGAACTTAAATATAAAAGGAATTACAGAGCAAAATGGGCACACGCACAATGATCTATTGCATGTCTCACCTGCCTAGTGGCGCAGAGAACCAACAGAGATGCTGGATTATATACTGCACAATTTTAATTCTCCCATCCAGTAAACATAGGAAATATGAGTACAGCCTGTCCCAGTTTAATGGAAGGATCCTTTGACTACTTGGGTGTGATGCTGCTTACATCAAATCTGGTGGAAATTCTTGTTAAGACTCATAAGAAGGAGGGACTGTTCTCTCATGAAAGGAGATGAAAGGACCTTCCACTGCAAAGCAAAAACCTCCATCTTCGAGAAGTGACCGCAGCACTACAGCTTGAGCCTCCACATCCCTGCCCACGTGGCTTTGAGGCACCACTGAGCAACTGCACGGGCCACCTGCTTCACCCCCCAGGTGAGAAGGTCCTTTTGGAAAACTTTCATTTGGAAATGGATGCTGAAATCTAGGAAAATTATTTGATTGCTCTTAAAAAGAGCAACCTTATGCCAACTGGTTTGGAGTTAAATGGGGATCTTCACTCATGAACTTGAAGTTAAATGAGTGATCAACCTCAAGTACATGCTTAAGGCTCTCTAAAACCCTTAAGGAATAATTGTGACATTTCTTTTTCACACGGTTGGAAAACTGCTTCTTATGGGATCAGGCTCACCAGCGTCTCCATCAATAACGACACCATACCGTACACAACAAACGTCTTTGAAATGAACCTTTTACTTTTATGAATAGCTCCTCTCCCCGGGAACTACTTTAAATCATTCTGTTCTGCATTTCAGCCAAAGATTTCTAAGAAATGCCTCTACACTGCTGTTTTATACAGATATCTCAGCTTGTTCCCCTAAGGGGGTTCAACATACCAAACTTGCTTCTCCTGTGGCCTCCTTACAGGTTTCAGAGGAAAAGTAAAAAGACAGACATGAAGCACTTTCTCATTCTCTGAAAAGAACGGAAGTCAAGCCCCCCACTGCTCTCTCCCCACCGCCTGTCTCAAAGACAAAAACCTCCATGCTTTTAAATCAAACTGAAGGAAAAGGACATTTGATATCATGGCCTAGGAAAAGCTCTCATTGAAGTCGGCAGGAATCTTTCCACCAATTTCAGGAAGAGCTGAAGCAGATTGCTACCAAACACTAAGAAATAGAATATAAACTCCACATTCTACTCTAGGTGGGTTTTCTGTTTTTCCCTTTTTTTTTTTTTTTCAAATTTAAGCTGAGACTAGTATTTTCAATAAAAAGTACAGCTAACTTTCCCTTTTCTATTGCTTGTACACATAATGTAGTCAAGTCACTTGCTTGTCACAGGCTTCTCTAGCTCACCTGGATCCTGGACTACAAGCAGTGTTTCCAGCTGACCCCCTGCTCCGCGTACGTGGAGGCAGATCAGAGACCTGACTTGACACAAGCTATTGCACCTGACCTAAGAGGAAACCTTACTTTGCTGCATATCAGTGCACTAGAAAATTAAAGCAGGTCTGAAGCAGGGCTGGTTGGCAATTTGGAGATGTAGTTTCTTGAGTGGTTTACTGGGGCAGTGAACTTCCCCTTGCATGAAACCCTAATGGCTTATCACGTCCTTTGACATTGAGATACGGTCAAAACTACTGTCAAGTGAACTAAGTGGAATCCAGTGTTCTGCATTAATGAAATAAAAATAAGTAATTTAACTTCTGAAAGCAAAAAGCAACTTCAGTCCCCTGACTTGCAGAGGGTCACTCCCCAGCTAATGATTCATCCTTCATTACATCAGGTGGGCTCCTCCTTCTTAATCAGATCATTCTCCTGTACACTGCTGCTTGCTGACAAGTTCTGCATAGCTAATATACTGCTTCCATCAACCAGTTCTCTATTCAGAACAGCTGAGCCAAATTTGGGAGAAGAAGTTGTAACAAATAATTACAACAACATTCAAAGAATCTACGGTGTCAGGAAAAGATACACAAAAATGAAGGCACCTAAGAAAAATGTTTACTCGTTTATGCTAACATTTAGGTTAAACACACAAAGATGATACATGTTTTATATTTGTGTCAGAAAAAGGAATTTCAGTGTTATTACTAGAAAATACACACCATACAGTGTTTTAACAGTCAAGTCAAGTGCATGAATCCCCAGAGGAATACAATTGGATGGTCAGGGGAGAAATGTGGGAGTTGCGCTTTTGCTTTGCTTTGGGGGGTTTGTTTTTTTCCTTAATTCATTTTAGGTTTTAAGCCAAAGCAGATTTTTCTGGCACCGCTTCATCCTGCCACAGAAAGCAGAGTTCTACTGCAAACTCAATATTAGACATGTGTTTTGCTGGATGAGCAAAATTAAATTTTATTTAAAGTGTGGGACAATGAAATAACACTTCAGATTCATTTCCTTTTAAACACGCTCCTGGATTTCAAACACTAGGAGAATATGGGCACAGAGAATTTGAGTTACAAATGCTCAACGTTTTAATTAACTGCTTTATTGAAGACGGGGAATTCAACAAAAATTCCCATCAGTATTCAGAAGCCTATTCAAAATAATCTAAGTTTCATGCCTAAACTGATTAGTATCTGTTTCATAGTGGTACATAAGCAAAATAATATTACATCTAGATTTTTCACCCCCCACTAAATTCAAAGTTATGCTTATGGTTTACCTTCTCTATATTTATACTAGAAAGTTTTTTCCCCAGCAAAAGAGCACAAGGCTTTGGTTTGCAGCTGGAACTGGCATGACCAGTAACCACAGCCCAACTGGGAAGCAGTGACTGCTTAAGTTCTAAAAGCTTGATCACTTCCAGTTAGGTAGCCACACACTTAGTGCTTTTTCCATAGGAATAGCCTACCCATGAGCCGCTGTTTCCCCAGGGAGGTGAAACAGAGGTTCTCTAATTTAATGACAAGATGAAGCAAATCATAAAGTGAAATTTGTATTACTTCACCCCCCTGCTTCTGTATAAGCACACAGCAAACCTCAGATTTAAAACACCCATTTTTACAGCAATACTCCACTCTTGCACACGAAGCCTGTGTTACCCTGCGCTCATCCACACACGCTGAAATGTTACTGACCTGTATCATGTACAGCTGTGCAATTCGATATTCTTCCACGCTCATCGGAAGAGGAATACGATATTCCTTTATGAGCATTTTGAATACAAAAATCTTTCGTCCTCTCAGAAACACGATCCAGAAGCTTTTAGTAAAGGCTCCTTAAATAATGGCAAGCAAATGCATTGAGGATCCCTGAAAAAGAGAGAGAAAAAAAAAAGAGAGAAGCAGTTATTTTCCATTCTTACTGTAGAACATCGTATTAGGAAAGAAAAAAAAAAAAACCACAACAGCCAAACATTAATTTTTGTAACAGCCATAAGCTTAATAGCAGAGAGAAGAAACCCTGGAGTGCTACCAGACCCTTGGCATCAAATTGAACAGAATCTTTTAGAAGAATTTTGATTTGCTTTAGGGGATACCATCAAAGCTATTACCCTCCTGACCTTTGCCACTGTATCAATCAGACTTTCATATGCAATAGCATCTCCATGGAAGAGATGTGACAAAAGCTCAAAATGAATAGGCAGACTTTTGGTTGCCAGACAATAAAGTATCTCTCCAATGTCAGCAACACACCAGAGATGCATCCACTCAAAGGTATCGGGTTTTATACTTTCACATTCATTCAGCAGCAGGAAGAGGCAATAATTAGACTGCCTCAGCCCTCCGTAATACCACGATGAAGAAAGTCATTTGGATTCTAACAATAAAGATGAAAGAAATGGACTTTTCTTCCCTGCTTTATTCTGAATTACTGTCTTGGTAGGATCCTTTCTCTTTTGCCTCCAAAGTAGTCTACAAGAAAAATCCTCCTGCCACTGATGTCGATGCCAGACACATTTTTACACTCCCACTGCATAAGAACACAGCCAAAGATCAAACTGCAACTTAAAAAAATCCCATCACATCCCACCTCGAGGCAATTTAATAGAATTATTGCCTAAGAATATGGGGAATACAGCATTTCTTACACCAAGGGTTAAAGCAATAACTTTTCATATATTCTTAAGATTCCCTATGGGCGGTGGACAAAGACAATAAAAGCATGTAAGGAAGTGTGGGGAAGATGACGGGTGAGGAAGAGAGGATGAGAGGACACAAGAAACAAAAGCTTCAGCAGGATGTGATGATCACTCTCCCAGCACACAAAGCACTCGCCTGCTTCCTTCTCATCACCAAAATTCACCAGTCTGCTGTGTCTGCCTACTGGAAGTATTGAGATATAACTGCTGGAGCAAAACCAGCCCCAAACCCTACACCTGGGGAAAAAACACCCAGAATAAAACCCACCAACTTATCGAGTGTATTATGACGTGGTCTGGGAATCAGGAAACCACACTGCTATCAACAGGCCTCAGCGCTACTCAGTGTTTGCACAGCACTTCACCAACCTTTTACAAGGTTAGGAGAGGATAAAACACATGCCCATGGCCACAGGAAAGCAAGGAACAAAATTCAGTATTTACAACCCAAGTTTCCCAACTTCTAATCTCTGCAGGACACAAAGGGGATTGCAATGTCTCTGTCCCCCATCAGACCTGATCCACTGCTGAGTTTAGGCAGGGGCACAGCTCACCATCACCACATCCCAGCCAAGGGGTTTGCCAGACCCAGGCACGCAGCCCCCGCACCGCCGTGCCGTTAGCTGGCTTTCGCTTGATTGCGGCGTTTCTAATTTGGCAGTAAAGCAAACCCAACGCGGACCGACTCTTCTGGAATAGCTCCCCGCCTGGTGCTGCATCATCTCAACAACTTATTTACAAATTCAATTCTCTGTTTCATTTTATTGTGGTCAGAGCAACCTGTGTGCGTGGAGGGAGGAATAATAAAAAATAAATAAATAAATAAAATTTGCCATGGCAAACCCTGTGGAGAGTAATTCTGGGAAGACTGAGCTTCTTGACACTGCCATGCCTTGTATATCCATGTGCACCTGCAAGATTTCCTCCATCAAACTAATCCTCCAGAACAGGTGGAGATAATCTCATTAGGTGGTTTTTAATTCATGGCATGGCAGAGAACAACAATAACCACCAGGAGATGGATCTCAAGCACTGGCCCCAGATCTGCATCAGTACAATGCTAGGATCCTACCTCTTGGAGCTAATGGCAGTGGGAGACTCAGCTACATATCTTGAGCAGTTCGTTATGCTTTAGAGATCTTTGAAAATTAGATTTAAAAGCTTCCTCCCCCCTCGCTCCCCAAATGCTCTGAAAGTGATTCTGCTCCCACCATAAGGACATCAGTCACGTCTGCCTTTGCTGCTTGCTAAAAACAGGATATTTCTATTGATTGGAAGAGATGAATAAAACAAAAAATAGAACCTTAAAAGCAATAAAATGGCAGGAAACCAGTATCAAGATGGAAAAAATGTGTTTATAATGAAGTGCCAGGCAGGTAATAATTTAGACAGCCAAGACACGAGAGGGCTTATTTTATTACAGACTAAAAAACCCAACCATTTTGGCCCCAGGGAGGCACAGCAGCAGCCACCAGCAGTGGCCTCGAAGCACTCAGTGTGAGGACCATGTCTGGTCCAGCTCCTGGTCCAACCTCCTGCTTGGCTTTTACCAGAGCTGAGGTTTCTCTAAAGTTCCCCTTCACGTTTCTACTTCCCTGCAGTCAATGTTTAAAAGCAGCATTTTGGCTCAGCCTGCAGGTCTCCAGGCAGCAGCAGGCCCTGATGATGTGCCTGTTGGAAAAGTGACGCTCCCAAAATCTCCTCCAGTAGCTGCCCACTCCAGCTATTGCAACCAGTCCCCAAAAGCTGGGTAGAAAACAACCCTTGGAACGCATTGGGCAACAGCAAGAACCACATCGCAACCTCAACCCAAGCAGGCCAGCAGGAAAAGGCACCTGGGATCAGCAGCCTGATGCTGAAGGAGGCACAGAAAGAGCAAACCTGACTTGTTTGCCTTTGTTTTGTTTTGTAAGCCAGACTGGTTTTAAAAAAAAAATAATATCAAGATAAGTTTGCAGCTTGGGCTGCCATCAAGCTGAAAATAACCTGCTCTAATCACTCTAAGAGCACTGGAGCCCAGGTGGCAAACCATGAAAGATAAACATGGGTCTTCACCAGATTCAGATCTTGGGGATCACCATGCCAGCTGGGGCAGAGGTGATGAAATTGCACTTTCAGACAAGTCACTGAGGACAGCAGGCTCCTTCCAAAGTCTTGGGACTTCACAGAGAACCAACGCTCACCAAAACCGCTTCCTGTGTTGTCCAAACAAAACACAGAAGTTTGACTGCAGATGTGACGGCTGCTACGGAGAGAAGAGAAAGCCCTTCTGGAAGCAAGGGAGCCAGGACACAGCTTTGGAAACCGGGTGTCAAAACACCAGCTGCGTCCCTGGCACTTTCCCGCATCCAGCCCATCGCTACGAGCAGCCAGAGGTGTTTGAAGGGAGATGCTCAACGTGCTGGGATTAACAAGCAGCCAGTGTTTTGCTCGCAGGCTGGATTTTGGATGTCCAGCCGTCGAGCACCAAGCTGGACTTTCTTCTACGGGTTTGCCAAACCCCCCACGGTCACACAGCCGGGACCCGGTGGCAGCCCAAGGCTGTTTGCAAAACTCAGCTTGCACCCGGCTTCTCTCAGCAAGAGGAAAACAATGGTGACGCAGGACATTTCCAGACTCACTGCTATTTCTGCTATAGCCAAGTGGCACATTTGTACAGGCCGTTATTCAATTTATACACAGAGCTGTAGTAACTGTGAAAGCCAGGCGCATAATTTTATACCTCAATTATTTTAAAATCAGGTTCTCAAAGCATCATAATTACGCTCCAGAGTCAATATCCTGCTGCGATGAGTCAGGTCCACCTCTGAGCTATTGCTTCAGGCTGTCTGAAGGCTAATGCACAGCGTGCTGCATTTACTTCTCATTTTAACAGCTTCCCTTGCAACAATAACAAACTTTTTAAGAAAACGCCCTTTCTTTAAAGTGCAGAGAGACTATCAGGATCTGCAGAAGCTGAACAGACCGAGAGACCCAGCAAATTCTCTCTGTTTAGCCCATGAACTTGGTGTTTGGGGATGTCACTTTGGAGGCACCAGAGCCAGCCTCCCTGTTACTAAACAAGGTGGCAGAGTGATGACAATCGACAGCTTGTAATTAAGGAATAAGAGTTAGGACTGATGACAACCGACAGCTTGTAATTAAGGAATAAGAGTTAGTGCATGAAGGTTATTTAAACTGTGCTACTGGAGTTCTGGAGGCCAAACCCTGGCCAGGCTTGACAGGCTGGTCCTGAAGGGTATGGAAATTGAGCATTACAGCAAAAATCCTGGCTCCTTGACACATGGGTTGGGTCCAGCGCAGGAGAACTACTCATGCTGGTGGGTTCAGGCTACAGAAGGGCTGTTACCACCCTCTTCCCAGCTGTGTTCTTACAGCTCTCCTAGCTGTCACCTCAACAACTGATTTTTGACCAGCTCACGTTTTCCGTGCTCAGGCTGCTGATCACAAGCTTTTTAGGGCTGGGAAGAGCTACTCCACGGCAGCAACAACCCCTCCGGAGAAGGGGCTGCTATTTCCCATTTTCAACAGGGAAGAAAAAGCCCTAGATGGAGACAGCAACTCTAATGAGCTTTTTCTAGCCTCACGCAGGAGGTTCATTTCACACTATTTTAAAGTTAAAGTTAAAAGACTGGCCCTAGGAAGAAAAAGCCCATCACGGAGGGTTGTAGAGCTGCCAGTGGCAGGTACCAGCCCCAGGACTGCAGTCCCAGGTTTTTATCAACCACCGCCTGCTCGGGGCTGCGCTGCCTTTTGAAGCTGAGAAAAATCTCCCCTATGAAAGATCACACTCGCGAGCTAAAGATCAATATGCTTGACTCAGCTATTGAACAATTTTCCTTGCAATATTTTCACATAACTGAGAAATGAAAGATAATTAACAGAAACAACTGCAAGAAAACCAAGCCAAACACGTAATTGCAAAAGGCTGAGCAAAGGCATTTTCTAGAGACCTCACCAATGTCCCTAAAGATTTTCTTAAGGTTCTCTTCTCCTTTATCCACCCAGATGCCTCCTCGCAGAAAGCGATATCACAGAGACTTTTGCTTTGGTCCCAAGTGTATCAAACACTTGGACTTTGGGAAGCAACACCAGGTTTAATCACCCAGCCCCCTTCCCTCTCCTGCAGCGTTCCCTGAAGGAGGATACAGTGCCCTCCCACGACTGGAA